GTCTATAGTCTAGTCTATAGTCTAGTCTATAGTCTAGTCTATAGTCTAGTCTATAGTCTAGTCTATAGTCTAGTCTATAGTCTAGTCTATAGTCTAGTCTATAGGTCTATAGTCTAGTCTATAGTCTAGTCTATAGTCTAGTCTATAGTCTAGTCTATAGTCTAGTCTATAGTCTTAGTCTATAGTCTAGTCTATAGTCTAGTCTATAGTCTAGTCTATAGTCTAGTCTATAGTCTAGTCTATAGTCTAGTCTATAGTCTAGTCTATAGTCTAGTCTATAGTCTAGTCTATAGTCTAGTCTATAGTCTAGTCTATAGTCTAGTCTATAGTCTAGTCTATAGTCTAGTCTATAGTCTAGTCTATAGTCTAGTTCTATAGTCTAGTCTATAGTCTAGTCTATAGTCTAGTCTATAGTCTAGTCTATAGTCTAGTCTATAGTCTAGTCTATAGTCTAGTCTATAGTCTAGTCTATAGTCTAGTCTATAGTCTAGTCTATAGTCTAGTCTATAGTCTAGTCTATAGTCTAGTCTATAGTCTAGTCTATGTCTATGTCTATAGTGTCTATAGTCTAGTCTATAGTCTAGTCTATAGTCTAGTCTATAGTCTAGTCTATAGTCTAGTCTATAGTCTAGTCTATAGTCTAGTCTATAGTCTAGTCTATAGTCTAGTCTATAGTCTAGTCTAGTCTATAGTCTAGTCTATAGTCTAGTCTATAGTCTAGTCTATAGTCTAGTCTATAGTCTAGTCTATAGTCTAGTCTATAGTCTAGTCTATAGTCTAGTCTATAGTCTAGTCTATAGTCTAGTCTATAGTCTAGTCTATAGTCTAGTCTAGAGTCTAGTCTATAGTCTAGTCTATAGTCTAGTCTATAGTCTAGTCTATAGTCTAGTCTATAGTCTAGTCTATAGTCTAGTCTATAGTCTAGTCTATAGTCTAGTCTATAGTCTAGTCTAGTCTATAGTCTAGTCTAGTCTATAGTCTAGTCTAGTCTATAGTCTAGTCTAGTCTATAGTCTAGTCTATAGTCTAGTCTATAGTCTAGTCTATAGTCTAGTCTATAGTCTAGTCTATAGTCTAGTCTATAGTCTAGTCTATAGTCTAGTCTATAGTCTAGTCTATAGTCTAGTCTATAGTCTAGTCTATAGTCTAGTCTATAGTCTAGTCTATAGTTTAGTCTATGTCTAGTCTATAGTCTAGTCTATAGTCTAGTCTATAGTCTAGTCTATAGTCTAGTCTATAGTCTAGTCTATAGTCTAGTCTATAGTCTAGTATTTAGTCTAATCTATAGTCCATAATTTCAAAATTGTAAAAGTCGGAATAATCGACTTTTTATAAATTACAGAAGTCTAAAAATCGATTTTTTTAACTTTAAAATCCTACTATAAAAATAGTATTAAACAAATTATAACCACTTACCCGTGCTCCAATAAAACGAGCTTCCAATAACTCCTGCTTGCGGGGATCTAAGGCTGCTTGAAAATGATCCATTATTGTACAATAACATAAATAAATCTAAACTTTTGCCACTAATCACTTTATCACACACACACTTTTATATTCAATTAATCATAAATTATTTATCAAAAAGTTCCTCAACAAATAAAAACCATGAATGAATTTTCTAAAGTCCAAATTCAAGCTGGTAACACTGTCACAGTTTATTTTTATTTTGTTTTTGCACGAGATAAAATCAAAAAAGAGAAAACCAACAACAATGTGGTGCAAATTATTACGTTACACTTAAACGTAAGCTAATAATATATTACGTACATATTTGTTTTTGCAAAGTAAAATAAACTTTTTTCTGTTTTTTTTTTTTAAATAACAACACTTTTTTATACTATTTAATTTGTTTTTCTTTTCTTAGTTTATGTCAGTTTTTATAATTTTTTGCTTATTTTCTTTGTTCTTTTTAACACTTTTTCCGTGTTTTGTCAAAATTGTTTAAATATTTCTGCACACTATGTCTTTATTTTATTTTTGAAAATCAATTAGAGTTTGTTTAATTAATTATTAGAAAATTAATAAAATGACACAACAGTTTGTATTTTACAGCAAAACTAAAGCAATTCAGGTAGAAAGAAGAGAATAAAAAAAGTTCACACACGTTTAGCAAAAAACAGAATAAAAGCACATTGAAAGAGCGATGTTTTTTTTTATTTGCCGTACACGCAAATTATGATTGTTATTGTGGTTGTTGTTATTTTCGAGCTGTTGCTGCTTTTATGTTTGTTATTGTTGTTTTTTTAGCTAAGTTCTTAACAAAGTTGTTGTTGGGCATCAACATTTTTTCATTCGGCATTTCTTTATTTTGCCAGCTTCCGAGTTAATTTTTTAAAATACATAGTATATTTTATTATGTTTATTTTATGTTATTTATGTTTATTTTTAGTTTACCATTTTATCTTGCAACTATGTATGTTTTATATTTCACATTTATTTTATTAAGTGCCTCCTTTTTGGCAGTGCAAAAAACATGGCGACATTTTAGCAAACTTTTTCTTTTGGTGATTAAATGTTTTTTATCAGTTAAATAAAACTTTAAAACACTATTTATTGTAGTTTTTTGAATTAATGAATTGCAAATTGTAGCTTAACGATTGTTGGTTAATTAATTTGTATTTTATTTGTTTACTTTTTGCACACTTTGCGAGACACGTTATGTTGACTGCAGAAACCTGCGTCGCCTAATTTTAACGTCAAGGCGGCAGACACATAGAATTTCGCTGACGGCTTAAAATAGGCTTTTACCGCCTTAGTTTTCTAAAGCTTTCTTTTTAAATTTTCAACTGTAACAAAAACCGTTAAATAAAAATTTGTAGAAATAGCAGTAAAACAAATGTAATTTTAATAATATTTTAATCAAATACATTATATTCTCCATAATTCTTCATGATTGAAGTGGGCATTTTAATAAGTTTCTAGGCTAATTTTGAAACAGTTTTAACAAAATAGAGGCAAAGGGAGGAAGAAAAAAAGAGACGAGCAAAGAGGAGGGAAAAAAGGGCGAGCGAGCGACCGACAGAGCGAGCGAGGGAGCGAGCGAGCGAGCGAGCGAGCGAGGAGCGAGCGAGCGAGCGAGCGAGCGAGGAGCGAGCGAGCGAGCGAGCGAGCGAGCGAGCGAGCGAGCGAGCGAGCGAGCGAGGAGCGAGAGCGAGCGAGAGAGAGAGCGAGCGAGCGAGCGGAGAGCGAGCGAGCGAGAGATCGAGGAGAGCGAGAAGCGAGCGAGCGACGGAGCGAGCGAGCGAGGCGCGGAGCGAGCGAGCGAGAGCGAGCGAGCGAGAGAGCGAGTCTATCTATCTATTATCTATCTATCTATCTATCTATCTATCTATCTATCTATCTATCTATATTCTATCTATCTATCTATCTATCTATCTATCTATCTATCTATCTACCTACATATCTATCTAACTATCTATCTATCTATCTATCTATCTATCTATCTATCTATCGGTTAAACATTCGAGGGCACCAATTTACGAAATAAAAACTATACTAGTTGGTTATCGTTGTAGTCCACTACTCGCAAATAGTCAAGTAGTTACGAACAGGACAATGTTTTGTCATACCTTTAAATTGATACCTACTCTTCAGCAACAAACAAACATTCAAAATCATTTTAATTCCAATTTATTAACATCTATATAATGAAGCAAAATTGTTGAATAAAAAAAGAATACATTTTAAAGAAAAAAAATGAATTGTATCGTATTTATATTTGTTTTTAATAAATTAAATATAGTTATTATTTAAAACGAAATTAAGAGTCCCCAAATACATACAGAATTAAATTTTAAAAGTTCTTGTTGCAACTGACCACGATACAAAGCTACTATTTCCGGACGTCCCCAAAGTGGGAGCAGATATTAACAACGAAAAAATTGTATACGACATGGAGAAGCTTAACTTAAATATATATTAGTAGTTTGTAATTTCTGTGTATTTGTATTTAGTTTCCCTCCTTCTTCTCCTTCTTCACTATCTACTTCTCTTCACACCATTCATTTTCTTTGCGTACTTGTTCTTCTTCAGCCGGAGTAAAATCGTTTTTTATATTGAACGTCTTGCGAATTTCTTCTGGAGTTTTACCCTTAATCATATTGGCCACAGTTTTGCAAGTAACATCCAACAGTCCCTTGATGTCCAAATAGTTGGCGGCTAAAATCAATTCGAATAGCGTACCCTGATCAACCTTTAGGAAATCGGCATCCCACGAGGAAATATCATCGGTGCGTTTTTCTTTGTTCTCATCATCCTCAGGGGGTTGGGGGTCGTCTTTGTGATAGTTGGCCCAGTGTAGAACTTTGCGTAGAATTGCGGAATTTACATTGGGCAAGGGCACTACGGCATTGTCACCATCTTCCATGCCACAATCGTCCAACATGGTCTTGATGGTGCCCGAGCATTTGGCAATTTGTACGTCAGTGTCGAAAATCTCATCGTCCGACGATTGCAATTTGATGTTGGGCATCTTGGTGTGTTTTTTTAAACAACTACGTTAGAATCCTAAAAAATTAAAGTGGAAATAAGAAGTTAGTCAAGTTGCTACGAAAAAAATAATCTATCATTTGTTATTTTTATGTGAATAACATAAAAATATAATTTTTACGTGACTAAGAAAATGGTGGTTTGTTGGTTCTTTGTTGCTGTAGTATTTATTTTCGTCTTTATTTTATCTCCTATTACGGCGAATTCTACTCCCAGGCCATTGCGAGTAAAATTTTTGTGATTTGTTTTATTGTTGTTGTTTATATATGTAAAATATATAAAATTTCTTAAAAAACTTACCTAAAAGGGTTAATTATAAATATTGCTTTATAATTTTGTTATATTTTATATAAAATCTAACACCGTGCAATTTTTTGTCAGCAAATTTTTCCAACTACACTTTGTCAATATGTGTTTTTTTAAACAGTGTTGTCATTTACTATTGTTAAGGCGAATATGCAGAGCTATATTTTTAAGTACTAACTACAAAAACGCTTATACATAATGTCAATGATCAACACTTTTACATGTATTGTCAATTTATATTTGTTAAATTTATAATTTTCTTTCTTTTTTTATTATTATGTGTGATGTTGAAACAATTACCAAAGATATTAAAAACATATTGTGTCATTATAAGGAAAATCAAAATCGCATTTTATTGAATGCTTGCAATGAAATACGCCTTTGTCATGGCGGATATTTAGATTTGACAGTGCGCCACAAAATGCTAAGGTGGGTTTTGTGAAAATGTATTTAAAGTTATAATTAATTTTTTGTTGATTTTGTAGACGATTAACGTATTTTTCGACGTTTATTTTGGCTATTTTTACATTAATATTTGCAACTTGCGGATTGTGGTTGTTAAGACGTTATAATTATTCCTATAATCTGGGAGGTTGTTCCTCAGTGACTTTCCTTTGGCCCTTTGAAGAATGTCCCGTAGTCTTTTAATCAAATTTAAGACGTTTGTTCAATAAGATGTCATTAGCTATAGTTAATTATAATTATATAATATAATTATATATTTTTTTTATTGAGTGCCTTTAATGTACTGAAAAGTCGACTTTTCGACTCACACGACGCTAATTTTCGAAAAGTCGATTTTCCAACTTTTTGAATAAATTCGAAAAGTGGAAGTCGACTGTTTTGTTCAAAAAAAAGTTGGTCGAGCACAAACAAATCACACACACAAATCCAACGTGTATGGCAGCTTAAGTCGAATATATTATAAAAAAATCGTAAAAGTTATCGAGTTATCTCAGTCGACAAAATTTCTATATTAAAAAAATTTCAAATTTGCAGATGTCGTAAAATCGACTTTTGGTAAATTTAAAAAAATTGAAAAGTTAACTGTTCATAAATATGAAAAGTTTTGACTGTATTAACAAGAAGTTGCCATGCATTTTTGTAATCAATAAAAAAATAAAATTGGGCTCATTTGACCCAAGATGTCATAAGTTATGTTACTCTATCTTTGCACATCGAAATTTAACAAAATTTTTATTATTAACAACAGTTTCTTATATATTCTTTTCAATAAAATTCTGTTTTGCCGCTTTTTATAAATTTACTTAGAACCCCCCTTAATGAATGCCTACAACTGACACACAGTGTTGATATTTTACGTATGCGTTTGCTACAGCGAATTGGCTTCCCTACAATACAACCATGTTAGCTGAGACACAAATATTCTTTTACAACAACACATATAGTTGTACTCTTCATTTTCTCTAGTTCTTTTGCAAAAACTGTGAAATGTGTGTGTAGCAATTGTACAGAAAAAATTTTTCACAAGAAATTCGTAATAATTAATTTGCTTTCGTTAATGCATAAAAACGAAATATTACTCAAGCAAGAAAAGTTAACAATATGAACTTAAAAAACAAAGTGAAATATAGTTGAAATTAATAGAAAGAAGAAACAGAAAAGTTATAAATCAAGCAGTTACTTGCACGCCATACAGTGACGACACGAAGAAGACAAGCTGACAGACAGACGGTTGGACAGACAGACAGAAAAGGTAGTCAAACGGACGGACGGACGTGTATCGGAGAATTCGCTCAGAAAAGCAGAACGAAAAAAAATCATTCTCTGCAGACATACTTTTAAAGCCAGACACATCGGTTATCGTTTGGCTTGTTTTCTTTGTGTGAATAAAAATATAAGAAAAAAGAACAGAAAATGTGTATCGAACTCAAAATGAAGCTAAATAAGTGACCATTGTGTTAAAAACAACGAACGAAAGGAATGAAAATTAGCAGTTTCAGCAACATTTATTGAAATGTATACTTGTATAAAGCCAAACAACAGCGTTTGATTATTGAAAGAAAATTTTTATACAAGTTTGCTTTGAAAAATATCAAAAGCGTAACGAAAATTTCTATATTAAGCTGATATTTTTCTAATACAAAAGGTAAATTTACATATATACAATGGAAAAAAGTAAGAAAACCAAGCTTACAGCAAAGAAAGAAAAAAAATCATTAATATTGAACCGACGCCGCCATTTTCATCTGTATTTAATGAGCGTACGTTCTTTTTTTACTTTAATCGTGATTTTTGTCTCCTGTAAATTCGCCGCGTTAAAAAGGGATAGTGCTATTAAAAGTGTATACGTTAGAAAGAGAAGACTATTTTGGTTCCCTTGTAATTTTTGTTGATTTTTTAGGGTTTTTCTTTGTTAACAATTTTCGTCTCTCGTCGTTATATTTTTTGCTGCCTTCATGCGCTCTTTGTTTTTGTGTTATAATTTTTTTTCGTTCATTTTACGACAAAAGGTTTATTATATTAGTTTATATATTGTGTTTTTATTGCCAATTTAAAATGACAAAAATCAGCTGAGTGTTGTTAAATTGTTAAAATTATTAAATTATCATTAAGAAAAAATTTTTACAACAAATAATTTTCGTTTTAAATTGTTCTAAATACTAGAATATTTGAAAATCATTGAATTGTAATGAAAGGGCAATTAATCGATAATCAATCTGTGTTCTAAAAAGAGAAAAAAAACGAAGAATAAAAAAGTAACAACGTGTGAGTGAAAAAAGGAATAAGCAAAAAAAAAACGAAGCAACAAAAATTGAAATACCAAGTAATGTAAACGGATTTAAATTATTAATTTTTTAGTGACATTTAAATAATAGTGATTTTATGTGCTAAAAATATTTAGATGTTAGTATTAAGGTTTCGAAGAAAACTTAACCTGGGTTAATTTTTTATTTATTTTGTAAGCCCTTTTTTTTTTTTGTTAATAAATACAACTCTGTGTAACAGCTGGTTGTCATATGTATTTCGACAGAGTTGTTAACAGCTGATAAGGTTCTGGTCCCAGCTAGAAATACAATGTTGATATTTGTAACGCTTAAAAATATTCAAAAAAATATATGGCTAGTTTTCTGTTTACCCCACTAATTATTACTTTTTATTTTTATATTTTTAGACTGCAATACAGAATGGTTGTTGGTTCACATCACAGCCGCCGTAGTGAAACTGCTAGTAAATACGGAAATTCTTCAGCGGCTGCCACTGCCACAGGCACTACTACCAATAATTCCACATTGAGTAGTGTCACTGCCGCCGCCAAACAAACACACTCAATGTCTTCAAATGGTCATTATAGTTCTCATAATGGCGGTTCAAATAATAACAACGGTTATCTCCTGCCTCTCAGTGGTATTAATGGCACCACTAATAGCATTGTATCACGACTTTCACAATCGACCGGCATGACGCCAAAGGAATTATCGGAAAACGATGATTTAGCCACTTCATTAATTTTAGATCCCCATCTGGGTTTTCAAACGCACAAAATGAATATTCGTTTTCGTCCTCTGAAAGTGGATACGGCTCAACTGAAAGCCATTGTTGATGAATTTATACAAACACAAAGTTATGAGGTGGCGGTTAAGAAAATTTTCAGTGGACCTTGGCTGCCCCGAAGTTATCGAAATAAAAATAAAATGTCTATTAAAAGACTGCATGATCATGTAAGTTTTTCTTTCCATTTATTATTTTCTGAACTAGAAATGAATTGGAACTGAACAAAGATTTGCACAGCCAAATATAGTGCTATACTGTGATAATGGAATTGCAAATAATTTTGATGTTTTCTATTTCACATTACAGATAATACGTTATTTAAGAGTTTTCGATAAAGATAGTGGCTTTGTTATAGAAGCCTGTTATCGTTATTCGTTGGAAGGTCAGAAAGGAGCCAAAATATGTGCCACAAAACGTTGGCAAAAAAACGATAAAATTGAATGTTTAGTGGGATGTATAGCTGAACTTAGTGAAGCCGAGGAAGCGGCACTTTTGCACTCGGGCAAAAATGATTTCTCCGTCATGTACAGCTGTCGTAAAAATTGCGCCCAACTGTGGTTGGGACCAGCAGCCTATATAAATCACGATTGTAGGGCTAATTGTAAATTCGTGGCTACTGGTAGAGATACAGCCTGCGTTAAAGTATTACGTGATATTGAGATTGGTGAGGAAATCACATGTTTCTATGGTGAGGATTTTTTTTGGTGATGGCAATTGCTATTGCGAATGTGAGACCTGTGAGCGTAGGGGTACTGGAGCTTTTGCTGGTAAGAATGGCAATGGCCAGTACGGTTCGGAACATGCTCTTACATTGGGTCTCAATGGAGCCTGTGTTGTGGGTGATACGAATGCTGTTAGTGGTGGCTATCGGTTGAGAGAAACCGATAATCGTATTAATCGCATTAAAAGTCGTGCAAATTCAACCAATTCCACAAATACAGATCTCACAAATGGAGCTTTAAGTGATAACTCTTCAGGGAATATAAACAACAATAACAACACTACTGCAAGTCTCAACAACAACAATAATAATGTTAACAAAACAAAACTAGACGCTGGTTCGCCTGAAAGTGTTAAAAAACCTGCTGCGGTAGTAGTGACACCATTAACAATGCAAGAATTGCGCCAAAAAGGCATGACAAAATACGATGCCGAAATGATTATGGCCAATACCAGGCAACATACACCACACACACATCATTTACACAACCAACAACAGCAACAACATCATGCAAATCAAACAGAAAATCATGAAACTCTTTTAGGACAAAGTAAAGTAGGGGAAAACGCTCCACGTACTTATCGGGAATCACTTAGAAAATCTTCCCGTGTTAATAGTACAAGTAGCACCATCTCTTCTGGTTCCACAGAGGATTTTGCTAGCTTAGCAAATGTTAATACACGAGGATCATCAAATAAAGCCGCTACAGCAGATGAGCCAAAAACAGGAGCTGCCACAACAACCAGCACGAACAGCTTAGCGACAACTAGAAGAAATTTACGAAAAGGTGGTAGCGGTACCATAATGCAGCATACAAAAACAACACGCTCTAATGCGGGAGTAACAACACGACATACACGTTCAACTGCAGCTGCCGCTTTGGGTTTAAAATGTGAAAATCTCTTAAATAATCAACAGACAGAAGATAATGTTATAACATTGGTGTCAGAATCAGAACAGGAACAAACTGATGTAGAGTCCAATCATACGACAGCGATGAAAATCACAGAACAGCAGAATGATCATTTGCATTCCGATGAAAACGATCCATGTAAGCAACAGCAACCAGAAAAACGTTTGACCCGTAATGGTGCCATTACAACAACAAAAACAAGAGTGTTAAGACATCATCAAACTTTAACAGCATCTTCTTCAGTGACAGAAACATCAACACCAGCAACAGTGGAAGAAAATGTTCATCAATCATCAGTTGTAAATTGTAAACATACAAAACCTTTTACAAATTTTAATGTTAAGAATACAAATAATGGTCAACAGTCTTCACTACAACAAGAACATCATCAGCATCATCATCATAATCATAACCAACCTGCGAAACGCAGTGAAACTGCAGCAGCAAACTTATCAAACACAACAACAGCCAATAACTCTGCAAACTTTGATAACATTAGTACAAAGGGTGAGAACAGGACTAGCTGTAGTAGTAGCAGTAGTTGTAGTAGTAAAAGCAACGTTAGTGCAACAAGTATTGGACCAGAGCAAAAGAACATTGGGGATAACCAAGAACAGTCCTTGGATATTTTAGAAAAAAGCCATAATAGTAATAAATTGAATAATAGTAGTAGCCCTAGTTATAAAAAGAATTTGATAGAATCATTTGAAGAAGTTGCCAAAGGCAATAATCATAGTGTTAGTAATATTAATTGTAGCAGTAAGAATATTAGTACTAGTATACACGAAGATTCTAATAATCTTACTGAAGAACCCCCTCCTCCTCCTCTTTTGCAACAACAACAACGTTTGAGACGTGCTGGGGCAGGACGTCGCACTAGTTATTCCCAAGAACCTGTGATAACAGACAATTCAGCAACTGCAGCAACTTCTGTTAGTGCTGGTATCAACTTGCGTAAACGTCATCATACAAATAGTGATGGGGCCAGCAGTACCACATCAAATAGCACTGCTAGCACATTTTGTATGAATAGCACTATAAATTCTGGTTCAAATCCTATACCCGCCGTCGAACCCCTATTGAAAACACCCGAAAGAAGGCTTAAGCTGACACTGCGCATGAAAAGATCACCTATTTTGGATGAGGTCATAGAATCGGGTACCAGTTTGAGTGATGAAAGTAGTAGTGTTACAGGCGGCTCGACTTGTAGTCGTTCCTCTTCTCATTCCGAACCCGTAGAATATGAAATACTACGCATGGAAGGTATAACGGAGAATGGTTTAGACTATGGGGAAGAAATGCCTCATAAAAGGAAAAAACGTCATAAATCAAAAGAACGTCACCATCATCATCACCACCATCATCGTAGGCACCACAGACGCAATCTCTCCTCTATAGAGGAGCTGGAACAGCAAATTGATAGTGAATTATTAGATGCCAAAGAAACGACACCTCCACCGCCGCCACCCCCAACGTCTCAGACGTTGACGCCTCAAAAGAAACGTTTACGTTTGATATTTGGTAATGAAACCCATACCATTGACATTCCACCAACAACCACAAACGCCAACAATGAAAGTAGTCTTATAGATGATTCAATTAATGAATCCACAGCTTCTTCTACTTTAAATACATCCATAAATATTTCAAACCCTAATATTTCGGCAACAACAGTGTCATCCTCATCCTCCAACTCAATGGTAAATATTTCTTTAACCTCTTCCACAGAAGCAGCAGCCTCCGCTTCGCCACCTCTAACATCTTCGGCCTCAAATTCCTCTTTTGCTTCGGCTTGTAGTGCCGCCTCACAAGCTGTTGCTTTTAACTTAGAAGAACCTTTAAGAGAACCTCTCAACTTATCCATGCCTAGCCAAAAACTAATGGGCAACACATTTCACAATCTTAACGCAAAATTCCCTGCAACATCTCCTTCTTCAGCTGTTGCTGCTGCCACTGCTGCCACTGCTGCTCTAATGCACAACAGCTTAAACTCTACTTCGGCTGCTAGTTTAGCTTCAGCCACCACAGCTGCCACCTCAATATTCTTATCACAGGCTATACCGAAACATACTTTCGGCTCTTGTGCTTTAATTGCACCCTCATTTGCTCGTAATTTAGTAAATAATACCGTAGTTTCGGTAGTCAATACTTCACCACTACGTTTGCTTAATAATACTGTTGCTGCATCGGCTACTACTGCAGCTACTTCGTCTCATAGCTTCAATTCAAACTCTCCCTATGCTGCCTCATCATTACCAATAAGCCTCACCGCTACTCTTACCACCACAAATACCAATACAAATACTGCGACTACGAAAAAAAGTACTGATCTCATAACGCATTGACACCCCGCATTGGCGCACGCAAATTGTTGTACATCTTTATATACATAATGTTGTGTATATGTAAATCGTCGTATAGTTAGCTCTCTAAGCTATCCGGTCCATTTTTCAAAAGTTTATTTCGAATTTTTTATTTGCTTTTTGGAATTAAAAACACAAAATTAAAAAAAGTGGGCACAAACTTTTAAGGAAGTTTTAATAAATTTGGGTTCATTGTAGAAAAAGTATCTTAAATCCCGAGGCGATGTTATTATATCGTTAACGAATCAGATTTCTTTGTCGTCCTTAGTGAAATTGAGGGAAAACAGTTGTAAATATCTTAAAAATGATAGTTACCACGATTTTCGGTGTCTAATGGCCACATTAAGGTAAAATGTAACAAACAGACTTTGTTATCGAATGTTATTCTCTCTATCAATCGGGCAAGTGTCTATATTGTATGAATAATGAATACTTTTTCAAAGTAAATGTTCAGAACTTTTAACATTCTGAAAATTGTAAATAGTCTGGAAACTTTCGATTAGTAAATGTTTTTAAAATCATTGTAAATCCAAAATAATTTTCTTTTGTAAATGATTACACTTTAAAACTCCATCGGATTGACATGTGACTACTGAAAACTTTGCATTGAGTAAGTCTTAGTTCGCAGGAGATAGAGAGATAGAGCTAAACAAAAAATACTCATTTGCTGAAATGTTCAAAAAATATATAATGTTGTTTCCATTTTAAAGGAACGGGTCAAAATAATGTTTCAAAAAAATCTTTATTTTAAAGTCCACACATTGGACTTTCAGATCACATAACAGACTTTAAAAATAAAAGTATGATCGCACGTTTTTTTTTTAATCTTCAGAACACGATATCTCGAAAAAGTATTGTGATGATAAAATTCTGAGGATAGATTCATATTCAGTAGAGTCAATCATTTATAAAAGTATTTTTTAGTCTCTGATCTGTGTAACTTAAGGAATGCGACCTATTGTCTCTTAAGTAATTATTGTAATAATTCACCTACATCTCTAAAGTCTATATACACATTATATATCCTTATAGATGTCGAAATCGTGATGTTGGTCTGTTTGTTTTTTTAAAACAAATTTCTGAATGTCACAAATATCTTCGAGTTCTAAATCCTCAATGATTCTATAAGATAGTCTTTCGAAAAGTTTGCTATTAAAAATCATCAAAAACGTTTGGTAAATAACGGAGATATGAGCAAAATTTTCAAAAAAAAAAACCCATGATTTTTGAATATATTTTGGGCGCCATGTTTGGTATGTATACTTATACATAGGAATTATGTATATAAGAAGAAAGCTTTCATTTGATAGATATTATATCTAGAAAAAGTGTTCTTAAACGAGAAACATCTGAAAAATGGTCAAAAATACCGTTAGCAGCAAGATTTCGATTTTTCAATACAAAATCTATTTTGTCTACAACATTTTCAACTATATTTCAGAACTTTCTAATTGTATTACTTTACATTTTTAAACCAAAGTATAAATTACAATTTGAGATCATTAAATAAGTGGAAGAGTTATTTTCTTACTTTTAACAAATTCCAAACAAAAGATTTCAATTGGTAAATGTGGCAAAAAATTTTATTAAAACTAAATCCCTATAAATTGTTGTTAAAATT